AACTCGCTTGTTATGCAGATGATATTCTGATATACTTAGGGCAGCCAACATATTCATTACCAAAACTGATGCAGTCACTTGAAACATATGGCCAATTATCAGGATATAAGATTAATGTTAGTAAAACACAGTTACTCTCGTATAACTATAGAGTACCAAAAGAAATTAAAAACAGATACCCCTTGGTATGGCAAACTGAATCCTTTAAGTATCTCGGCATCAACATGCCAAAGGATCTCTCAAAACTATTTGAATGTAATTATTTACCTATATGTAAAAAAATTAAGGAAGATATAGGAAGATGGAACCTAATTCCTTTCTTTAGCCTCAGTTCAAGGATTGAATCTATTAAAATGAATATTTTGCCTAGATTATTATACCTATTCCAGACCTTACCAATAATGATTAACCAAAATCAATTTAATGAATGGGAAAAGATGTTGTCAAGATATATATGGCAGGGTAAAAGGCCTAGGGTTCGATTTAAAACGTTACAGCTAGCTAAAGAAAAAGGGGGTTGGGGATTACCTTCTTTAAGAGATTATTATTTTGCGCCACAGATGAGAGCCGTGATATGTTGGTGCAACCCATCCTATAAAGCCCAATGGAAAAATATAGAGGAGAAATTATCCTCCATCCCTATACAGGCAATCCTTGCTGATAGCAACTTACAAGGTCACACAAATGTTATTGATAACCCATGGGTAAAATGCACTCTTAATGTATGGAAAACGATTATAATAGAATATAAATTAAAAGAAGATATTGTGCCTCTTAAATGGTGTGCATACGACTCAGAATTTACGCCAAATAGATTAGATACTAGATTTAAGGACTGGACGGATAAAGGATTAACAGTTTTATGTAATATAATAAAAGGTGGCACAATAACTAGTTTTGAAACACTCAAAGAGAAATACTCATTTGAAACACAAGACTTCTACCGATATCTACAGATGCGACATTTTGTTAATATGAAGATGAAGAATGTGGCTGGGACAGGGAAAGTTATAATAGAACTGTTCAGAAAAGCGTACAACTCAGATTTGTTTGGTAGAATTATTTCATGCATATATAAATGTTTTTTAAATCTTAAAACACACTCAACTTCCTATATTAAAACAAAATGGGAGAAGGAAGGAGGAATAAATATATCTGAGGAAGAATGGACAATAATATGGAGGTATCAATGGAAATGCTCCAGGTCACAGAAATGGAGGGAGTTTGGGTGGAAAAATTTGATAAGATATTTTATTACACCCTCTCAGAAATCCTATCTTGGTAGTAATGCTTCTATATGCTGGAGAAACTGTGGAAACCAAAATGCAAACCATTACCATGTTTTCTGGGATTGCTCCGTTATTAAGAAATATTGGAGAGGAATACATAATGCTTTACAATATATTTTTAAATGTGTAATACCATTTGATAGTAAAACCTTATATTTTGGATATATACCTCAAGAATGGTTAAAAAGAGATAAATATTTAATGAATATATTGCTGGTGGCTGTAAAGAAGAGCTTTACCAAAAAATGGTTGTCACACGAGAGCCCTACCCTAAACGCATAGATGGAAATTACAATGGACATTTACAAATTGGAGAAGATAACAGCATTTGTAAATCATAAACTGGAACAATTTACTTTGTGCTGGGATAAATGGACCAAATATGCAACATCTCAAAGACCTGATTTTATTCTCTAGTTAATATCCAGAATGCCCAGAAAAACTACTCCCTACATGTACATAGTTCTTTCTAATTTTTGTTGTTTTGTAAAAAAAAAGAAAAAAAAGTGTATTTTTCTGATGAATAGATGTACTGCAAACACGACTATATGGTGTTTGTATGGGCATATATTTGTATGTTGTGTACGTTTTTTTTTATTTGAGGATGCCCGATACAGTATCTGAGTTACATCTGATTGAAGTGTAATGTTTATATGAGAAAAAGTAAATAAAAAAAATAAAAAAGAAAAAAAAAAGAAACTTGGGATCTCACCATCTAACTCCTAAAACTCATTCTTCCTCACTCTCTGTCTTTCTTCAACTTGTATGAATGCGTGTGCGTGTGTTTGTGTTAGATATTTGTTTTGTGTGTTAGTCATAGGCTTATAATCAATAAAGTATTGTTTGTATTTGAAAGGAGAAGCATTACTTGTGATATGTGCTTACAGATTTATTGTCTTGAACTTCGATCTAAGTTACCTATGCTTTGACCCTTGATTTATTTCTTAATTTAGCTGTTAGCTGGGAATTAGTCTTTCTTGGCCAAGAAGATATTATATTTCCTAGAATTAATAATTGTTTATGCTTTCCGTTCATTGGATGAACTGATAAACTGATCATACTATTGATTTTGCTACAGTAAATTCTGAAAATAATTCAATTATTAATTATTGATCATAATCCGTTATGAATAATAATTAATTATATTTATACGTGCGTATAATCGCTACACATGACACGTAAATACTCCAGCGCGAGTACCTGATTGGCCTCTCAGGTGCTGTATTGCACCCGCTGACACCTATCAAAGAAGACGCAGCCCGGGCCGCGCAGCTCCTCTGAGGAGAACGCCGTCTGAGCGAGAGAGTGAAACACTCTGTCCACACCCGAAAAAAGTAAGCTCGCCTGTATGGGAGTTCTTCGGCTCAAAAGAAAACAACACTTTAAAGGGGTCGCACACCGGACGAGAAGCGCAGCGCCACGTCTTTAAAATTTGAACACATTTTCTCTTCGAGTGTACACACATCGGCGGCGTCTGTCCGCAATTTCACAGAGAATACATTGCGATTATTTTACTAGTCATGGAATGGGAAACGTGGCATTAACCTGTTAACAGGGGGTTTCTGTGTTCATACATTTAATAAAGGGTGATTATTAAGAACCATCTTATTTTTGTATTTGCACTTGATTTTTTTGTTTGTACCCTTATGTTTGTTGGGTAAAAAAGAAAAACTATATAAACAAAGTAAAAATTAATTTGACTGATGCATTGGCCATATTGTTTGGCCACTGCTAAAAACATTAAAACCACTAGTCAGCATCACTAATTGACTAGTTGAGCTTTGTAAGAAAAAATGATGTGGACGTTGAAGATCTCAAAAATGAAGTTTATTACGGCATAGCAGTGGCAAGGTACACGAAGCACCTCGGGTTCACCGGCGTCAGAATGAACCCCGAAATAATCTCAGCTCAAACATTTTATACTGTATTACATTGGTCTTCCCCCTCAGCATGTAAATGAAGCTCTGTCTTAAATGTAAATGGAGGATAACAACAAAAAGTCTTGCCCTCTGTGCCCACATCTTTGATATTCTTTCAAATAAGAACGGCCAGAAGTTAAGGTGACAACATTTATTTGAAGTCCTTGTAATCAAGATGGCTCTCGATTGCCCGCTGCCGCTCCCACGCTATAGGTTACAACCGTGACTCTGTGATACTATTTACATATTACCGAGATTGGGAGGAATTGTCTCTATGATAAATAAGCTCTTTTAAGTGAAGGAACATTTACATGTATATATATACACTCACCGGCCATTTTATTAGGTACCCCATGCTAGTAACGGGTTGGACCCCCTTTTGCCTTCAGAACTGCCTCAATTCTTCGTGGCATAGATTCAACAAGGTGCTGGTAGCATTCCTCAGGGAGTTTGGTCCATATTGACATGATGGCATCACACAGTTGCCGCAGATTTGTCGGCTGCACATCCATGATGCGAATCTCCCGTTCCACCACATCCCAAAGATGCTCTATTGGGTTGAGATCTGGTGACTGTGGAGGCCATTTTAGTACAGTGAACTCATTGTCATGTTCAAGAAACCAATTTGAAATGATTAGAGCTTTGTGACATGGTGGAAGTAGCCATCAGAGGATGGGTACATGGTGGCCATAAAGGGATGGACATGGTCAGAAACAATGCTCAGGTAGGCCGTGGCATTTAAACGATGCCCAATTGGCACTAAGGGGCCTAAAGTGTGCCAGGAAAACATCCCCCACACCATTACACCACCACCACCAGCCTGCACAGTGGTAACAAGGCCTGATGGTTCCATGTTCTCATTCTGTTTACGCCAAATTCTGACTCTAACATCTGAATGTCTCAACAGAAATCGAGACTCATCAGACCAGGCAACATTTTTCCAGTCTTCAACTGTTCAATTTTGGTGAGCTCTTTTTGTAGCCTCTTTTTCCTATTTGTAGTGGAGATGAGTGGTACCCGGTGGGGTCTTCTGCTGTTGTAGCCCATCCGCCTCAAGGTTGTGCGTGTTGTGGCTTCACAAATGCTTTGCTGCATACCTCGGTTGTAACGAGTGGTTATTTCAGTCACTGTTGCCCTTCTATCAGCTCGAACCAGTCTGGCCATTCTCCTCTGACCTCTGGCATCAACAAGGCATTTCCGCCCACAGAACTGCCGCTCACTGGATGTTTTTTCTTTTTCGGACCATTCTCTGTAAACCCTAGAGATGGTTGTGCGTGAAAATCCCAGTAGATTAGCAGTTTCTGAAATACTCAGACCAGCCCTTCTGGCACCAACAATCATGCCACGTTCAAAGTCACTCAAATCAACTTTCTTCCCCATACTGATGCTCGGTTTGAACTGCAGGAGATTGTCTTGACCATGTCTACATGCCTAAATGCACTGAGTTGCCGCCATGTGATTGGCTGCTTAGAAATTAAGTGTTAACGAGCAGTAGGACAGGTGTACCTAATAAAGTGGCCGGTGAGTGTATATTGGAGTGGAAGTTGGATCGGAGCAGACTATAATTTCTTATAGCTTCCTGAACATAAATAGTAATCCCATGACTCATGTACACAGGCTATGAATATTAATAATGTGAACTCCGATTGTCATTCTGCTAAAGCAAATGTAAACTGAATCTGCGATTGTGATTGAATTTTGACCACAATATGCCAAAGTGTGATGATAATGATAAAAGTGAAGGGCTTTTCCTTGAATAAGCTCCTCTTCTCCTGGTGTGTGTTTGCTGCAGGATACTCCGCCATGCCGCCCACCTGCTTCATATTCTGTGGGAACTTCTCCTCCGCTCCGTACGGCAGGAACCAGCTCCAAACACTCAAAGGTTCCACATCTCTGAAGAGCTTTTGCTGTTGCACAATCGTGTTTTAAAGGAACATAAATTGTTCACAGTGTAACAATGTTTTTTGTTTTTTTTTCAGATTCTTTTAAAGCGCTTGCTGATCTGATTTGTGAATTTCCCAGCATTCACAACAGGTAAGATATTTTAATTAAACCTGAAAGCTTAAGACAAAGGTTTTGTTTTCTCATGACACACAGTGGAGTGTGAAGCATGAGTCCAGTTATGGGTTAGACTTCACTGACTCCCTTTCAATGTGTTTTTGCAGCAGTCGTTTTGTGTTTGTTCCCGGACCAGAAGACCCGGGGCCCGGCACGGTCCTGCCCAGGTATAGTGTTAGGACCAGTGTTTCATCATCATCATCACGCTGACCCTTCTTCATTTGTGTTCGAGTCAGTCAGCGTCTGTGAATAAGCACGTGAAGTGTAAAATGTGTTTGTGCGTACAGACCTCCGCTGGCGGAGCATCTCACAGAAGAGTTCCGAGAGCGCGTGCCGTTCTCCGTCTTCACCACCAACCCCTGCAGGTGAACCAGCCGACGTGTGCTGCGCGACCCACTGTTGCTCTTCTTCATCATCATCATCCTCCAGTGATCACGCTTCTCTTCCTGTTTCAGGATACAGTACTGCAGTCAAGAGATGGTGGTGATTCGAGAAGACCTCGTCAACAAGATGTGCCGAAACTGTGTTCGACTCCCAAGCAGCAACCTGGATATCCCTTCCCATGTGAGCCTGAGCTTTACATGCGTATCCGTGCATAGGCGTCGATTTCAGTCCCCACCACGCGTCCCCACCACTCTTGGAAACATTGAGGATGTACCTAATACAAATAAAACATCTCCAGTTAACTAGCAGAGCATTCATTTAGTTCGCTCTTAAATAAGAGATCTAGCGCTAAAATGTTTTGTTTTTTAACTCAAGCTGTGTCTGCTGCTATCAGTGTCGTGGATACAGTGTTCTCTGTGGCGCGCACAGTCTTCACTCGGACGCGCGCTTCAATCGCCGTTGCGGAGAGACTCTCTATATATTCATTCCGGTGAAATTACAAAATAAAATGCACACAAACGTGTCTCTGGCTGCTTGATATAGACTGTAACCACTGATCATATTCAGTTTTGAGAGAGAAAAAAAGCTATACCGAGGGCGGATTAGAGCCCGTAACATCTCACACGCTTGGCAAACGATCTACCACTAGACCATTTAAGAACTCAAAAAAAATTGCGGATCGATGCATCTATTTACGGGTTAAACAGGCTGCAGAGTTTGTACCCAGCACTTTTGAAAATGCACTTCCGAATGCGTCTCTGTCCCCACCACATTTCAAACCAAACTGACGCCCGTGTATCCGTGCGATTCAATCAGTTCATCATATAAAGTGATCGTTTCTCTTCAGAAAATGTGGACTAAACCACTCGATTCATATGGATTACTTTTACAATATATTTAGGAACTTTTTGAAGAAACATAGTGGTAGTTGTGTAGCTGTCAATGGAGGGACAGAAATCTCTCAGATTTCATCAAAAATATCTTCATTATATTTGTTCCGAAGATAAACAAAAGTCTTATGGGTTTGGAACGACATGAAGGAGAGTAAATGATGACACTATTTTTTTCATTCAATCTAACCTTTTAAGTTAATAACCCTTTTTAAAGAATACTGATAGCACTGCTAAAATGCTTGACGCATGCAGTAAGTTTCACCTGTTTGGTGAATTTTGCATTTTTTCAACAGTTTGTGAAAACCATCCTGTCACAAGGTCACCTGACGCCGCTCCCGCTCTACGTGTGTCCGGTGTACTGGGCGTATGATTACGCCTTACACGTTTATCCCGTTCCTGATGTCATCGTCTTCGCTGATAAATACGACCCTTTCAACGTCTCCAACACAGACTGCCTGTGCATCAACCCGGTACTCAAGCCACAGCTGACCGTATAAGAGTGTGTGTGTGTGTGTGTGTGTGTGTGTGAGAGAGTGATATATTTAGTATGGCTGGACTGATGGTGACTGATCAGTGTGTTAGATCTGAAATCTGTTGATGTCTTACTCTTTCAGGGTTCTTTTCCAAAAAGTGGATTCTCCTTTAAAGTTTACTATCCGTCCAATAGAACAGTGGAAGACAGGTATGATTATTGATAAAGCCATTAACATTTACTCTTTTGAAAAGACTGTGCTTTGAAAATAAACCCTTGTATTTCTCATTGTTCCCTTTACAGCAAATTGCAAGGGCTTTAAACCAGAAGATTCATGGAATATCACACTGATGTGCTTCCTGTTTTTAATGTAGTTATTTCCATTGCAGTCTTTAAAATGTAAATTTCTTTTTAGACTGTTACAACAATTTCATATGGCTATTGTTTGATTTGATTGTTGATGCACTTTTAAAGTTAAATAAATATAGACAAAATGTGGTTGTTGAATTCATTACAGGCTTGTTTCTTCAACATGGATAAAGATTGTCTATGCACATGTGGATCAGTTTGTTTATAATCACATATACAGTATCTAGTATACATGAAGTCTTGGGTGCATTTAAACATGATTTATACCTAATTTTGCAATTAGGTATACAAAAAAATATAGAAATTACAACAAAGTGTGGCGGATATATATTTTATACTGTGTAGTACAGTATTGAATATTGTATAGTATTGGATGTCTGTATATTCAGCGCTTGCACACTGTAAAAATACAGCAGTCCAACTGCAAAAGGTCAAAGAAAACTCTAAATGAAAAGCATGTTCCACTCAGAATCAGTCAATGAAGACCCGATGCTGAGGCAGAAGGAATCTCTCATGTTGGTCCGGCCCGAGTCAAGCCAGCTTTAGTTCTACAGCGCTTTATACAGTACAGATTGTTTCCAAGCAGCTTTACAGTTATATCAGGCAAATGATTCAATGATGTACACCGAGTTCAATTCAGCTCTAAAGACAATAGAGTGAATGTTCACCTGAAGTCAGTTCAGTGTTGATTCAGTTCCTGTGTAAAGATCAGCAATTCATAAATCAGTTCCTTTCATCTATACAGTAGCTCTGGAGAAAACAGTGATGTCATCATCCAGCTCAGATCAATAATATTGCTGAATATAGTGGAGGACTTTGTCCACATCACAGACGATGTCATCTCTTGCCAGGCAATGGGAAACACCCCCTGGTGTGCCGATCCAGCCTTGACAACACTGTCCACACTTTAAAGAAAGTGGTTTATTCGACAAATGGGTTTAGGCCTTTGAGAATTTGGTTCAGAGGATGGGTTTTAGTGTTTTGGCAATTGTGAAAAAATGTAAAATAAACCTGTACTGCAATGTAAAACTGTGATCACTCTAATCAGTTTTTTTTTTTTTTTTTTTTGATATGGCGCTTTTAACAATCTAGAGTTTCACAGCAGCTTTACAGTGATAACAGGAGATTACAGTCACAGAGAGTGTTTAGGCTTTACAGCAGCTCTAGAATACAGTTATTGTCCAGATAAAGTTAGTTTTGATTGATTCACTTCCGTTGCAAAGATCATTAGTTATTAACTTAGCGGCCGCTAACACGACACCGCTCTAACAGGAAACACCTAAAGCGAACCGGACGCTCATTTGCACAGAACAGTGCCTGGTGGCCAGAAAATTTTCCTCACTTTTGCGTAGCCACGTGAACTGGAATTATCCCGACAGTGTTTATCTGTAGAGAGGTGAAGGGAAGGAGGCCTTCACAGGGAGGGACTAGTGGACTGTGGTGGCAAACAATTTTACATCACTGAATAAGAGACAAACATGATCAATTGTCTTTAAAGGGCATTTATTCCCTTGCAAGAAAAGGTCAACAACTTCCCCTCTTTTTATCATTCATGGATAAACAAAATAATAATACATTCAATTTAAGTCATTACATCACACTTATACACTCCATCTCTCATTTTCATATAAATTATCACTCTTAAACTTTTAAAATAAGGGACTATCCCCATAAAAAAAATGCCTAAGCTTTCTTCTTTTAAAAACTAAGTATTTAGCAAGCAAAAAAAGACTTTATCTGAAGCCGGGCTAAATGAATAAACATTTTTATTGCACTCCTGACATAAAATCAGACCCGCAGTCACCTCAGTATAAAAATAAATAGTATAGATGTTCAGAATAGAAAAAACATACCCTAACTTAATTAATACATTTCATTTCAACTTCCACTTGTTGTGTCATCATCAATTTTCTTTGGTTTTTGACATGCATCATCAAATTGATCCTCATACTTAGACATTCAAATCATTTTGTATCAGATTGTTTTTGTCACCAGTCTCTGTACCAAAGCTGAAATAAATTGAATTACACATGGTAGGCACATCAACACCAGGCATCCTATCGGCACTATAGCCTGGAATGTAAAAAAAAAAGATGATTTTCCCAACATTTTACATACCCCTCCTTTCTCAGCAGTTAGGGTGTCTAACAGTAATTTACTCTTTATAACATAATCTCTGATTTGATTAATTTTAGCATTAATCATTGTCAAAGCATTCTCAGTACTGTTTGCTATTGTTAACACAGTATACAGTTAACACAGTATAACACAGTATACAGTTAACACATAGTTACAGTATATTATTTAAAAAAATAATAATATAGAATTCATAGACAATTGGAAAAGTTTTTGGGGCAAGCCTGACCTGTTGAAAAGAGATGGTATTCATCCCTCCTGGGCTGGTGCTGCTCTTCTCTCTAGTAATTTGGCTCATAGTCTTAGAGCTCAAACATGACAATCTGGGGCTCAGGGGTCGTATTCACAAAGAATTTTATCTTACCACTAGGAGTACTCCTAAATCGCACTAAAATATTTTAGCTAGGAGTTTTCTCTTAAAAGTTATTCACAACGCCTTTCAGACCTACTCTTAGCAAGGAAAAATGACGACTCCTAAACTAAGAGTGAGTCTTCGTTGCTATGGATGACGTCACTTCTCATGCACGAGCTTCCTCGCAACGATCACGGTGATTGGTTGTTAGATGACAGGGCCATCATGCGGAACATAACACAGACGCAACAAATCATGGATTTAGGACATCTAAATATGTCTGTGTCCTACACAAAATAATAATAGTAATGTCATCGAAATATTTGTGCAGGCCCCAGTGAAGTGTAATTCTAACAAGGCAGAGAGAGAGAGAAGTCGTGAATTAAATTAAATTAAATCAAGGTAGCCTAATAACGTTACCCCAATGAAAACCGCCACTTGCCTAATAATGAAACAACGACACTTGCATTAACACTTGCTTGGTTAATTGACATCCTATTAGCCTAAATAGACTACTTAAAGCAAGGAAATGTTACTCCTATTGAAGTAATGTAATGGTGTGTTCACACCGAACGCGAAAAAAGCGTCAAATACGCGTCTATCGCTTGAACATTCGCTCGAGTTCAAATTTTTCAACTTGCGCGGAAGACATTCGCGGAATACGCGTCGCCCAATTCGCGTCATTTGCAACGCCCGGCGCGAATGATGCGCCTATTCGCGTCTTTGCATTGACTTTGTATGTAATCTACTCGCGCAAATAATTAAATTCGCGTTCGGTGTGAACACACCATAATAGTTGAATGACGGTGGATTATGAACTCGCCAAAACGGAAAAGAAAGCCCAACTGGACGCAGGATCAGTTACTGCTGCTGGCCCAAAAACATAATAAAAGTGAAATTCGGCACTGGGATATCAAGCAAAACTAAGCGTGAGAATGGGAGAGGATTTGTTTGCAGATCAATGCCGCATTCCCGCTTGTGTCGCGGACCCCGGACGACTGCGAGAGGCAGTGGTATGCGCTACAATCCTTTGTGAATAGGTCTTAGTGAGTTAGGAGTCCTCTCGACTTCTTTTAAGCTGTCCCAGACTTAGGTGCTACTTTTAGGGCTAAAATGCTTCGTGAATTACTCTTAGTGAAAAAAATTAGCAGTCCTAAAGTTAGGAGTGACACGCCCATTATTTTTAGGAGTTGCTCCTAAATTTGCCAGTTAGGAGCTACTTTTAGCCTTAAAATTCTTTGTGAATACGGCCCCAGGTCAGGAAGCAGACAGACTGGCTAAACCGACCGTCTGCTAGCGGCCTCACGTCACCAAGGTCAGATAAATCCCATCACATAGAGCCTCTTTCACCTAGATATCATCATATAGAGACTGTGTCTGTTCCCCGAATTTGGAAATCCAAAAAACATGACTCTCGTCTGAAAGGCAAAGGGGGAGGTGTTGCTGTAATTTATATTAATATTTTCAAAACCACTAAGAAATCTAGTTTTAAATATACTTCTTTTGAAGTGTTGGTTCTTAATGTAAAAATATATAGTGTAAACGATAAATCACATTTGAGAATTCTGCTGGCTACTGTGTACAGGCCACCAGGGGACCATAACGATTTTATCAAAGAATTTGCTGACTTTCTATCAGAATTAGTATTGGCTGCAGATAAAGTACTAATTGTTGGTGATTTTAATATACATGTAGATAATGAAAAAGATGCATTGGGATTGGCATTTAAAGACATTGTAAACTCAATTGGAGTTAGACAACACGTGTCAGGACCTACTCATTGTCGTAATCATACTCTAGATCTAATATTATCACATGGAATAGATGTTGATACCGTTGAAATTCTGCAGCAGAGCGATGACATCTCAGATCATTATCTAGTCTCATGTAAATTACATTTAGCCAAGGCTGCAAAGCCGACTCCGTGTTATAAATACGTTAGACCTATAACTTCTGCCACTAAAGATTGCTTTATCAATAATCTTCCTAATCAGTTTCACCATCTCAGCATCCCGGATAGCTTAGAAGAACTCGATATTGCAACAGAAACTTTTAACTCTCTTTTCCAGCACTTTAGACGCAGTTGCTCCGTTGCGCTTAAAGAAGATTAAAGAAAATAGTCCAACGCCGTGGTACAGCGAGCACACCCAGGCCCTTAAGAGAGCAGCCAGAAAAATGGAGCAAGACTGGAAGAAAACTAAACTAGAGGTATTTCGCAGTTCATGGAAAGAGAGCTCGATTGCTTACAGAAAAGCCTTAAAAGCTGCTATATCTGCTTATTTTTTAACACTATTAGAAGAAAATAATCATAATCCTAGGTATTTATATGAACAAGTGGCTAAACTAACGAAAATTAAAGTTTTAAGCCCAGAAGTTTCCAAGCAACACAGCAGTAATGACTTTATGAACTTCTTCACTTATAAGATTGATAATATCAGGGACAAAATTATAACTATGCAACCGTCTACCACAGTATCGCATCAGGCAGTGCATTGTAGTGTCCCTGAGGAAAATTTGATTCATTTATTGCCATAGGAGAGGACGAATTTTCTAAACTTGTTAGATCATCTAAATCAACAACATGTATGTTAGACCCTATACCGACTAAGCTACTGAAAGAGATGCTTCCAGATGTCATAGATCCTCTTCTCAAT